CCACAGTATTTTTAGGAATAACATTAGATTCTAAACTACAGTGGGGCCCACATATTGATAGATTGTCGAGTAGACTTAGCTCTGCAGCATATGCCGTTATGAAAATACGTAGGTTAACTGACATAGATACTGCCAGATTAGTATACTTCAGTTACTTTCATAGTGTAATGTCGTACGGACTGCTATTGTGGGGAAATGCTGCCGACATACAAACAATTTTTGTGCTTCAGAAAAGAGCAATTCGATCAATTTATAATCTTAGGATTAGGGACTCTTTAAGGGAGAAATTTAAGGAAATAGACATTATGACTGTTGCTTCTCAATACATATACGAGAACTTAATGTACGTTCGTAAAAATATTAGTTTGTTTTCTATAAAAAGTGATGTACATTTTAATACAAGAAATAAAAATAAATTAACGGTGCCTGTCACTAGACTGCAAAAAGTTAATAACTCATTCAAGGGTCTTTGTGTGCGCTTCTACAATAAGGTCCCAAGCAAAATACAACAATTAGATATCATGCAGTTTAAATCTACTATTAAAAAAATACTTATTAAAAAAGCTTATTATAAGGTATCCGATTATATAACAGATAATAATAATAATAATAATAATTTATTTCAATTCCTTATACATACCAAATTACAAAAGAATACAAAACAACTTATAATTTAATTTACACGGTATCACGCTGACAGCTGTAGAAGTATGAACTGTGATACAACTGCCAGTGTCTTCCACCCCAAATAAAAAAAAAACTTATACAAGTTGTCTACAAAAATTATACCTATGTGTATGTGTATGTGTTGTGTTGGTGTGTGTGTGTGCATGTGTGTGTGTGTATGTGTGTTTATTATTCATTGTAATATATACCTGTTTTTATTTATATTTTACTTATATATATATTTTTTTTTCATATATATTTAAGTATTATTATTTTTTTATCTATAAGATAATATTTTCTGTTTCTCTGTAATTCAGACCCAGTAACCACTGACGAATTCTTTGTTTACATTTGTACAGGGTTAGAGGAAGGATATTATTTACCTTATGCACCACACTATAAATCCTAGAGCCACAGACATAAAATTGATGTCTAGCCAAAGACGTCTTGTGCGGTACACTTGGACACACATTTCTAACACTCCTCTGGTAACCCTGGGATACTCTTTGGTAGTCAATATCTTTGTGCTTCCGAAGCACCGTGCAAAGAATAAAGAGCTTACGAACTGTCATAACTGAGGATTCTCTGTAAAGAGTAGTCGTGCTATATCTTCGCGGCTTTCCAAGTATAATTTTTAATATAGCTCTTTGCGCTCGCTCAAGGGGAAGCATTGTAGTGATGCCTACACCTCCCCATGCAATGATACAATACTGGAGTAAACTCTGGACAAGCGCCAAGTAAACGCACATCAATGTATCAAGATCAGCTGAACTACGGAGTCGTTTGAAAATAGGAATTAATTTTCTAACTCTACCTACTAAACCTTTAATATGACTCCCCCAATTCAAGTTATTATCAACCGTGAGCCCAAGATATTTTATATTTTGCGAACGCGTGAGCGTGTCGCAGTTACACTCATCAATATTCCTACAGCCGTGTAGTCGTACACGAAAGTCGTTTGGTGGTTGCGTGGAGCTACTGGATGAGAAGGTGATATATCTCGTTTTATTTATGTTCAATGATAGTAAATTACGATTTAGCCACTTTGCCACCTCAAGAAGAGCCGATTCGGTATGGATTCTAGTTTGATTCCAATCTGTGCCGTGAATAATTAGAGCTGTATCATCAGCATATGTGATAATTTTGGTGAACGGGAGAGATAATTCACATAGGCTGTTAATGAATATAAGAAACAGAGTCGGTCCCAACACGCTCCCCTGCGGCACTCCAAAAGATATCAGTGCCTCTTTACTTGTATAATTTTCAATTTTTAGGGATTGAGTTCGATTAGTAAGGTAGCTCCTAAACATTTCTAGTGCAACACCACGAATCCCCACCGACTCCATCTTTCCAAGCAAAAGAGGAACAGAAACCGGATCAAAAGCCTTCGATAGGTCAAGAAATACTCCAGTCACTCTTAGGTTATTATCAAGATGCTGAGCAATCATGTCGGTAAGCAATAGAGTAGCATCTTCTGTAGACTTTTTTTTCATAAAACCAAATTGATTCGATGCAATGATGTTATTGCGTTCCAAAAATTTGACGAGTCTACTATTTAAAACTTAAGGATAGAATTTGATAAGAACGCTTGGACTTGAGATGATCCAGCAACTGGATAGGTGATTACTTCTAAACTCATTATCTTGTTTTCATTATTATTAAATTATTATGTTATCATTATAAGACCATATTTATTGATTTTTTGTCTATCTCTGTTTATAATGTATAGATCTGGTAATGACATGGTTTTTGTTAATGTCATTACTCTTATTAGAGCTGGTGAGTTTCTTGCTCGTTCTTCTTATCAGCCAAAAGACGTCCTGAACGAGTGGTAGGGAAAAAAATGTTGGACGATTCAAAAGTACTTTTAAGAAGTCTATTTGAATAAAGATTATTTTGACTTGGACTTTATAATTCACAAGTTAATTTTGGTAAAACAAATGTACCGTATATCGTTTACATATAAGTTTCCATTACAAACATATTTCTTAATTTGTTTTTGTAATTGTCAAATAGCCTTGTGTAATATGTTTGTACATATATCTTAGATCAATTATTATTTAGGGCCTAACGAGTCTACAAAAACCTTTTTTATAGTTTACACAGTTCCTCAGAGAATACAGATGACAACACATTCAATATTTTTTGATCCTATTTTTATTAATGCGTCCTGTGTACAAAGAGATACTTAGGATTGGGGTTGGCGCTCCCGTGTTCGTGAAAACGAAACAGCTAGTTACTGTATAAACAGAAAAAATATAAGGTGTATGGTAGTTCTGAGCGACAGAATAGGAAAGAGCGACGGAGAAAACTCGATACTATGCTGCCAGATGTAGTTCAACCCTAAATATTAAGGGTCCTGATCAGAACTCATCCTATTACAAAAATAATACTCTAAGCTCCAATAAATATGGCGGATAGTGAATCTTCATCGCAAATTTTAATCTTATTTTCGGTTACAGGAGACATTAGTCCGTGTCGTTATCATCAGCCCTTTTACGCCCCTGTAGCCTCCATCGTCCTGAGCAGGGGCTCAGGCCGGAGGATGGGCCATGGCCCTCCACGCTGGCCTATTACAGATTGGATGGTATTAATGACTGCAATGACGGCGCTTATCCACCACGGCATCGAGCTATTTGCTAGGCCATTAGAAGGTTTATTCTGCGTTAACTTAATTTCATCATACGCCACATTAGTTGGAACTTATTGTACTGGTGTAGATGACGTTGGATAAGGATTTTGAGTATTTAAAAAACAGTGAATTTTTAAAATACTTTATTAATTTAAAATTAAATGTTAAACAACTTTTTAATCTAATAAGTTTTATGTCTGTAATTGAGCAAACATAGATAGAAAATGAATCACACAAGATATTTTTCTTATCCGGCTAGAAATAAACGACATTATAAGAAGTATGTCTAATTATACAAGAAATTCTGTATGAACGATTAAGATAAATGATATAGTTACATAAAATAAATACTTTATTATTACTAAAGTTAATTTTCTTTCTTAATAATAAAGTCGAGTAAACGTTAGGAAAATAGTATCATGCACGCCATTTAAAAAAAAACAGTTTCTGGGAGACAATGGCTCCACCAACATCAAAGCTTTTTCTCAGATGGGGTTGCGACTTTAGTTTCGCCATGTGACCTTTGTTGCATTACTGTTACCACCTAAAATATGCGCATCGCATGAAACTAATGCATGCAATACGAAATTACATGTTTACCTCTGCTAGTGTACTTTCTAGATAAATGATATGAAACTACTTTTATACAAACATTTCGTAATGTAAATTCAGTTTAATAGATGTAAATATGTAGATACGTAAATAAATAAGATTTTACATTTGGAACTGCACTTTAATGGTACTTCGTGGATGATGCATAAAACATATTTTTTTGACGAAGCTATATCGTTGAATAGAATTCAATAATTTGAAAATGAAGTAAAGAACAAAATTTCTACAAATTGTGATTGAAAAACAACGTCCCTTAGGACTATAATCAAATGTGGCAATTACATAATATTACAGACTTCAGGTAATTGTTTTCTATAGATAAAATGTAATATTAAATTATATATTAAAATTCTTCTCGTGTTCACGTCATTAAAATCTTGTTGAAATACTTAATGAAAAATTAAAAATCTAGATAGTAGCGTAGTTAGTTAAAATATGGAACAATTGATTATAAAAAGCAATACTAGCGTCTTATTCTGTTAAAAACGCCATCGTCTGTCTTATTGACAGTTACTTTTCAGTGATGGGGAACATTTCGTCTTGTGTTTTTGTTTTGAAGTAGCCGCACTAATTTGATGCCCATTTATTACTCGTATAAATTCTAAGAACATTTATATACTTGAACATAATTAAATTTAAACCCAAAAACCCCTAACGCAGAGAAGGTTCAAGCTTAAGAGAGAATATATTTAATTACAGATTGATAAAAAAAAACGTTTTATTAGAAATTACAACAAAACATTTGTAGTTACTATTTACAATAGTAAGTTTTGGTAACATACAATGGTAATAAAGCTTCGAATTAAAAATCGTTTTAGAGTAAAGTAGTGCTGTCATCAGTAATCTGAGCGGTAAGATTATTCAGATCTTAGATATAATACTATACTTGATGACTTGATGTCTCGATACTATACTTGATGACTTGATGTCTCGATACTATACTTGATGTCTCGGACAAGATCACATTTTTTCAATTTATTTACAATGAATTAAATAACTTTATCTCTTGTAACTGTTTGCTCTTGGCAACCTCATAATTGACGTAAATCAAAAGCAAAACTAAGGCAACCTATATTATTTCAAATCTTTTGGTCGTTTTATCTCGGTTTTATCAAACATAGAGAAAGAAAAAGTAAAAAGCTTATTAAAAATAAAAAAAATAAAAGTGTAAACTCTGATTATAGCAACACATGTAATCTAAGATAGAAACTGAACAGATGACGGTAAATTTTTATATATACCGTAGACTGCTGATGAAAAATAGACAGACTAATAGCCGATTACTAAATTGAGAAAAGTACAAAACTTAACAGATTACTTTCAATAACTTAAAATTTGTACGTTTCACAAGTCAAAAAGTATTTGTTCTGACAAACTGATATCAACTTGATCAATAAAAAAAAAATAGATTCAGAAATGAAAAACTGTTTTATGCGACATTTGTTTGAGACGTTCTTAAATTTAAATTCTCAATTCAGAAACCGGGCGTACCTAATGACTATATTCTCATTCAATGAACGCACAACTGATGTAAATCAACTTTATTATTATGGAAACCATTTTGGAAGAAACGTATTTCTTTAAAAAGATGTTACATTAAAGCACTACAACAATTTTACAATGTCGTCAAGATACATCAAGACTTTATTTTCGTGAGAAATAATATAGATTGAAATTACAATATAAAAAGAAATATGTATGTACCTTAATTAATAGAAACATATTTCGACCGATAATACTCACTTCAAATGTTTGTATGTTGCTACTTGTAATGATTACAAAATTCGTATATAATCAGTCGTTTCTTTCTAGAAGTTTCCGTATTAGCCTCCAATCTTCCATGATATCTGAATCGGGCAGCATGTACACCACGTACGGCGGTGAGACGGTTATCTGCCTCTTGCGCCGACGGCGACCCCACTCGGTGCAAGGCCAGAGTTCCACTGTATGACGCTCCTCTTCCAACTTACGAATTTTCTCTTGGATTTCTTCTTTAAGAGTCTCGTATGCTAACCATTTCTCGCTCTGTCAACAATGAAAATGAGAAGTTGGATCAAAAGCTCAATTCAAAAATCGGGAGATTCTTACTTTCACAATGTGTTTTAATATTTAAGATTGTTTCTGTTAACTTGTTTTATGTGTTTTTAATTAAATAAATGACCTTAAAAGGTAGTTCTCTATTTTCTCATTTTTAAGTTCTCAGTTAAGGTTTCTAATCTGTAAGAATAATTTCGATACCAAAGAAAGTATTAGGGCAGGTGACCAGGTTTTAGCCTTTTTTTAAATTATAACCTTCTCTATCGTTTCGCTCTTGGCAGAGCAGTCGTGGTGACGTCGAGGCGTCCATGTGAATATTAGAGGCAGACAAAGCCTTTTTTACGGTCTCACACCATCTTTCCCTATTTCCGGACTGTCTAGCACAGTCATTCTCCCAACCAACCAACAACAAAATTATAACCTAGTTTACGTTAAAGTAATATATTTGCTTATGCGTTAGAACGCTTTGATGTTCTAAATGTCCAAAAGGGGGGCAGTGGCCAATACCGGAACCTCTGTAACTAAAGTCCGAATAGCGTTTACTGATTTTATGTTTCATTTTACATTGGAACTCTACTTTCATTACACCCAATGTTATATGTTATACAAAATTTAAGGATTTTCCGAATATTTTAAGTATCTACTGCAACACCTTGACGACTGATGATAAACTGTGTTTAAGAGGACGCTTACATAATTAATCACTAACTTTCAACTGCTTTAGAAATAAGAAAAGTACATCATATCTTTAAAGCTTTTGTCAAAGTTAAAACGCGACCATATGAAATTTTATCTATTGAAAAAACACAAAAGTTAACCCATCTTTTTTCTATTTCTTATTATTGTAATATTCTTTTCTTTTCAACAAAATTGATAAATATTATATCACTTTTTAGCCTAGGATCACTTTCTTTCATAGATCACTTTCTTAGTAGAAATAAATAGTCTGAAAGTAATTAATTAACACTTAATTTTCATCATACCCTGAACCTACCTACTTCATTGCTATTTCTTTTTTGTCTTGATGCCCAGCCTTAAGATAGTTCACACAAAATAAATCTTGACCTTGAATTTGTTAGTTTGCTGACGTAAATTTTGCACATAAGCTAGTTTAAACGAAATGACGCAAATCGCCGACTTGGCATTTGTTTAGTTATACATTATTCTAGTGAGGTCACTGCAATTTTAGCATTGAACTATTTCCTATATTTTCGACAAACTTTATACCTTAGATTTATTTATTGAACTTTATTCACCAATATAAAGATGGTACAAAAGGCGGACTTAATGCTAATAGCATTCTCTCCCAGTCAACTTTTGGGAAAATAGACAAACATGATGGCGGTACAGAACAATTAAAATTAAAAAAAGACTGCAACAACAAATACTAAATAAGATCTTATAATACGCCCAAATATTTAGTATTTTTAAACAATTATTTTTGTGCGTACACGGGTAACCAACAAAAATTACAAAATGACAAATCGTAGTTGAAAACAGACCGTCAGTTGAAGGTCCTCTCGGATATATATACTTATGAAGTCGTTATTAGGTTTCAAAATTATACATTTCCGTGCGGCACTTAATGTTTATTAGATTTTAACGTCGTAAGCATTAATATATATCTATCCTTGTTATCCTTATCTATATGAGGTGAAGATTTCAAATGTATATAGTTCGATAAACGATTGAAATATGTATTTTTTTTAATTTAGATTCGTCTAAATTTGATAGTATATGTATTGACGCAGTAAAAAAATAAATAATGCTATGTGTAGTCAGTACGTCAGAACAAAGACTCTTATGGTATTAGATTATGTTTTCGTCGACTCACTATATCATATGTTTGGATTTTCAGTAAACTTTTTTTCACGCTCTGTAAATAAGTTACAACAACTATAAAAAATAACAATTAAAGAAAAGCTAAGGAAAACGTTGATCCAAGGGTCTATGCATTCGATATTATAGATATTTCAATAAGTCGATATTATACATATTTCAATGTTCTGCATTACTGATAAGTTAAATTTAAGAGAAAGTTACTTTTTGTTTAACAAACTAAATAAACATCATATTTATAATATGATTATATTATTATATTATTTATAATCATGGATATAATATTTTATTATAATGGATACCATCGGTTTTGTTATAAAATAGCTAGCTGTTTTTTCGCGACTCCGCCCATATAAATTATAGCCTATGTCATACAAACATATTATCATAATCATTCAAATCAGCATTCGTTTCAAAAGCGATTGAGGCTTTAAATATTACACAAATCTATAAATCGCTGTAATCGCGCTACCTTTGAATGGTATTACGATAAATTTCAAAATGAGACAAGCCCGCAGTTCTAAATACAGTGCTACTTCACCAGCCCTTTTACGTCCCCACTGCAGGGGCTCAGGCCTTCCTTATGGATGGTTAAGGAGGATGGGCCATGACCCTCCACGCTGGCCCAATGTGGATTGGAGGGTATTAACGACTGCAAATGCAGCCGGGACCAACGGCTTAACGTGCCTTCCGAGGCACGGAGTAGCTCGAGATTATAATTTTATGGTCACCCATCCCGTGACCGACCCTTGCGAAAGTTATTTAACGACTACGATCGCGGGCCGCGGCGCTTATCCACTACGCCACCGAGCTACTCATAAGCAAGGTTTAGCGTTGGAGTAAATTTACGCTGAGACTCATCTTCGTATTAGTCAAAATTCATATTATTAAACAGAGACTTAACAAATGTTAACCTAGCACGAGGTTCTACGGAAGTAATATTTGCTCCTAGAAGGTAGCAGATTCTCTCTGTAATATGAATATGGACTAATACTAAAATTGCAATTTTAGCGTAAATTACTCTGACGCTAAACCTTGTTTATAATTAGCACTGAAGTGAATAACGATTGACAAATTGCAAAATAATCACGTATTAGTTGTCCAACCACACGGCTAGCGTTAAAGCCGCTTTGTACGTATTTGTGTTAAATATTTATATGTGCCCTAATTTTTTTTGAGTAATAAAGAGTATAAATTAATTTATCAATCGGAATCTTGCACTATAATCTACATATTTCATGAAGTTATTTAAACAGAATGTTTATAGTAAGTTAAAAAAAATGTTTCGGTTTTCAATTCGATATTTCGACATGTTTATTAATTGAATTGGAAATTTTGAATGAACTTGTGAAGGCGACATTTGGATGCGTAATAAACATATTTATCACAATGAGTAATTTATTATTGTTTTCCATTTACTACAATATCTTTAGTTGATATAAAGGACATATTTGATTTTATGTTTGCATTTAATGAGCTGCAAAACTATTTAACCTATTTCAAATAATATCTTTAATCTACGGAAAGTTACATCATACGCGGGTGACGTCACTATATAGTCAAACAAAATCGCTTTCTCTGTCCCTATATGGCTATATATGCTTAAATCTTTAAAACTACGCAACGGATTTTGATGCGGTTTTTTTTCATAGTTAGGGTGATTCAAAAGGAAGGCTTTTCATAAATAGGGTGATTCAAAAAGAAGTATATTAACATTTTTATGTATAATAAAAGACCACGCGGGCGAAGCCGCTGGAGGAAATCTAGTATGCAATAATTTACGAAGCGAATTTTAAAAGTTAAGATCAAACTTTGGATTTATATAAAAAACATTAAATTAATCGTCTAAAATTGCCAAAAGTCGTCCTTTCATTTTGCGTTCTGTCTATCTCAGATCTCTTTGCGTCACTGAGTCAATATTACTTTCTCTAAGTATTGATTTATCTTACGATTAAATATTTGCATTCCGAGAGAAACTTGAAACGTTTAATTCCATAACATTAATATATTTGAAACTCAAGTTTTCCAGTTTCAGCCCTCCTCGTATATTACTGCGTAATAATAAAATTTAACTATTGAATTATTCTAATTAATCTGTCTAAATAAGATACTTCTCCGGTTTCCATTATATTATAAACGATAAACTTCTTAGTAAAAATGCGACTTTTCGAATAATAACGATTTGGAGGAAAACTTAAAATTAATTGTTTTCGTTTTGGTATACCAGATCCGGATCTACGATTTTCCGTATAAGCATATATTCGGTTTTATTATTGCCAGTCAACATATTTCAAATAAATTATTGATCCATATCCTAACACTGTTTTTTATTGACTGATTGAGTAAAAAAAAATATAAACCAATTGTAGAATCAGTTATTTATAGAATCTGCCATTAGTAGACAGTCATTCATAGAATTGTACACTTTAAGAATTGGTCATTTATAGACTATGTAGTTATAATCGGTCCTTTGTCGACTAAACCGGCACAGAGCCTAAGGGGATGGAAAGGAGATGCGGAAAGTTAGTGTTTGTATATTTGGTTTTGTTGTCGCTTTTTATTAAACCGATTACTTATAATTATTTGAACTGAAACATGTTATATTGTAAGATATACATAATTATTTTACTTAAAAAAATGACGTTTAGAATTTTAAATGAAATCTTTGCCATTTATGTAATACAAAGAGCACAGCCGTTACAACAAAACTAAATCACATCTTAAATCTGCTCGAGTCAGTGTACCGCGCGAACTTAGTTCCGTCTTTTTTTGTCGAAATATAATATAAGCTAATAATGTAGCTTTATATTGGTTAAAGAATATTTTAAATCAGTCCTGTAGTTTTCAATATACAAACAAAAATTTCAAATCTTTCCTCTTTATTACTTTACTAGCTTTCCACCAGCGGCTTCACCCTCGTGGTCCTGTATGAAACATATAAACCTTTCTCTCGAAACACTCTGATTCATGAAAGCTGCATTAAAAACCGTTATGTAGCTTAAAATATCTCGCTGTACAGACAGCGGGGAGCGATTTCGTTTCATATATTGCATAGAAAAGATTGTGTCAATTAAGAATTATTTGCCGGTGTCTTTGAAAAAAAAAAACTTTCGAAAGTGTCTTCTAATGCCAAAACATAAGCTGTGTTT